CCTCAGTATCCCACCATTTCGAATGCTGGGCACAGCCCGTTTTTCCACCACACAGTGCGGGAGCGCGCCAGTATCCAGGGGAGTATTAACATAGATTAAGCATACTCCGTATTAAGTTATAATATAGGCCTAGATGGTATCTGTTCGACATTTTCTAGCCGGGCGGGAGCGCGTGTGACACTGCGACGTTGTTGATGTATAACCTTGAACGCACATGTCCACGTGAGTGAATACTCTGTAGAAATGTCAGTGTGGTAGTCAGGTAGACATCGGCAACGTCGCACACGTAGTACAGTAGACCCTCTCTAATCCGGCACTGCACATCTCCGGCACTCCAGTAATCCAGCGTTTTTTGACGGGAGGTCTTCCGCGATCGGGTCAAAATTCTGATTATCGCCCGCTCCCATGTACACATCATAATTCTCTCCCGCGGTCACGGAAAAGTCATCTTCGTCATGCGCGATCGCGGCAAATTCATGAACATCGCCAGCAGACGTATAGACGTTATCATCGCCTTCCTCGGTCACGGAAATGTCATCGTCGTCAAGCACGATCACGGCAAGATCATGAACATCTCCCGCGATCATGTAGACATTATTGTTGCCTTCCACGGCCGCAGCAAAAATTTTATCATCTCCCGCGGCCGTGTAAACATCATTGTCTACTCCCGCGGTCACGGAAACGAAATCGTCGTTTTGCGCGATCGCGGTAAAATCATTAACATCTCCCGTGGTCATGTAGACATTAATCGTTGTCTTCCGCGGTCTCGGCAAAGATTTTATCATCTCCCGCGGCCATGTAAACATCATTGTCTACTCCCGCAGTCCTGGAAATGTCATCGTCGACTTGCCGATCGCGGCAAAATCATGAACATCTCCCGCGGTCACGAAAATGTCATGTCGTCATGCGCGATGGCGGCAATTTTACGATTATCTCCCGCGGACGTGTAGACGTTATCATCGCCTCCCGCGAATACGTAATTGTCATGCCCGATCGCGGCAATAGCGGTTTCCGATCACGCGAACTTCGGGGACGTGTTTTAATTGCATTTTAAGTGTTTTTAATGATAACATTCCAGTAATCCGGCATTTTCACTAATCCGGCAGTATGGCGGTCCTATATCTGCCGGATTACTGAGAGTCTACTGTACTGTAATGGCGGTTGCTCAATCTTGAGTCTAGACCAACCTGACATAGAAAACAGCTAAGCAAAGCTTAAGCCTTAAGCCCTTCCATTACTTACCATTATAATTTTGTCATATGTTTGTGCTTAAGTGGAGGGATGCACATAGGTTCAATCTTGTAAAAATGTGTTACTAACAAAAAACCCGTAACAAAACAAATACTCAACTGCAGAGGTGCCCATCCCCCCAAACCCAGAGGCGCAATCCCCCCCCCCAAGCCAAGGGAGTAGTTCCCCCCAATTTATGCTGCCGTCTATTTAAACCTACCCTCCCCCCACAAATTTATCTGACAAAATTCACTTTACCTCATAAAACGAACATTCCAAGTATTTAGTATCACAGTGTTTAGTAGTACAAACAAATCTGGTTTTTGTTTGTATTTGTATTCTAAATAATCAAACTTGAAGTAAAGAAAAACAAACTTTCTGATAATCAAAATTTAATGTTTAATAGGAAATGTTAACAACACATTATTATATCTAACTAATGGACGAATTAGAATTTTTTCAATTTTATAATTCAGAATCTGTAATGTCAGTCAACATGTGAGCAGTATTAGACAACGTCTTCAAAACGTACAACAATATACTCGGTGAATTACTCTACTCCAACACAGTACTGTAAACTGTACAACATATTAGGTGGCTTTGATTTTTACAGAGTTTAAGAATTCACTTTGAACTCAACAGCTTTAAGTGCATTAATAATACATTGGCAAAAAGCATCTTGTTTCAAAATTATAGGCAGAGTCACCAAATAAGACAGACTTGTTGCTCGCCCCTCCCAGGCTGCCTTCTACAAAATTTGCCAGGCAAAATACCCACAATACGTTAATTGCCACCAGTACAAAAGGTTTTTGTGACGAAGTAATTTATTTTTCATTTTGATAGCCCCAGGATTGCCTTTTATGACTAATAATAATAATGATAGAAACGCATCTTGTCAGACAATCCGTTTGTACACAAAACACGAAACGATAACATATAGGCCTATTAATTCACGCGTGTATATTGCCTCGGGCAGGACTGGAAGTAAACTGAATCAGGTTATGACGGAAAGACGTGGTCTCTGGATTGTCGTCTGTGTTATCAAAAGCTGATATTGGACTAATTGTAGTGACGGAGGACGGAGGTGAGTGTTGAAAATACAGGGTGGGGCAATGAAAGCGCCCCAATTTATAAGCAGTACAAACTCAATAATATTCACCCTATGGATATAAATAGCACATCAAAACACAGCTTATCTTTTGCCATTTTAACTTAACAAAGTCATTTTTCCATTTCTTGAGAACGAAATCCTGCAAGTGACGTCCTTGTCCTACTTGACATTAGGCACTTGAAAACTCCATCAAATACTCCTCCAGCATTTCTTCAGGAATCACTTTAGTTTTTGGACAATTCTTAGCTTCGGTTCAAGCAAATCTGTGGGGTGACTTTGAAAAACCTCGAACTTCAAGTAGCTTATTAGAACCCCCCCCCCCCCCCCCGTCCAAAAAAAGGAGCCAACGTAAAGCTTTCAACAACAACAGCTTCCTGGCAAATCTCTTTGGACTTTGAGTTACTGCGACTCGCACTCTTTCAACATTTCCTGGTGTACAAAGAGTTTTGCGGCACCCACCGATTATTTTTTAGGTTTAAGCGTTTATCTTAAATAGTTTTACCCAGTTCACCATTGTTTTCCAATCTGGAACAGTGCTATGTTGACCAAGGATGGAATGTGGTCCAAACAATCTCTGGGTTTTTGCACAAGAACCACTATTTTAAAAATAGGTTTGCACATCAAAATCTCAGTGTTAATAGCCTCGGGCATAATATTTACTAAAATGGCATAGTTTAATTGATGTTTTAAGCACAGCTGATCATTCGTTGTTGCAACAATTAACATGTGACAGCTAAAACAAATTGTGGCGTTCTCATTGCCCCACCCTGTATAATGGTATTCATAATTGAGTTTTCCATTCTAAATGATTGACAATAACAACCAATTTATATGCTGGATATAAATGATGGTCTCGAAATTCTACAGTACTGCGCGTAAAGAAATGTATTAAATACTTTGAGGAGTTTGAAATACCGTATATAAACAAATAAAACTAGAGACAGAAAAACATTTTTGAGTGTAAACACTCAATTAATTATGAATCCCATTATATTATCAACACTCTTCTCATTCACTACAATAGTGCAATATCAGCTGTTGAAAACGCAGACGACAATCCAGAGACCACGTCGGTCCGTCTTAACCTGAACCTGATTCAGTTTACTTCCAGTCCTGACGACGGCAATGTACTCGTGTGAATTGATAGGCATATCTGTAATCGTTTCCTGATTTGTGTTAAATGTTTGTAACGTATTCTGACGACACATCCAGAAGTGGATCTTTTGTAAATCCTAACGACGGTGGAGTTAAAGAACCACCAACACAAGTAAAATTCGTGGTTAAAAGGTGCGTTTTTACCATTCTTAGAAGCAATCTTAATTACAAATGGTAAAATTTTGTTGGTGTTGATAGTGAGCTACTTAGAAACACTTTATCGGGCTGCTTATACAAAAATTATACATTCATTATGACAGCTAGCAAAAAAATATCCCCCCCCCCAAAATCCCCTAAAAAAAGCCCCCCCAAAAATTCCTGTGGCGCAAACACGCCACAGTACCCCCCCTCTGGGCACCCCTGCTCAACTGACTACTGAGCCACTGAGCCACTAGTGGGTAGTAGGAGGTACTGTATGACTAACGCACTGACGTGATGAAGGCATAGGATGGCGGGAAACGAGGATGCGCGCAGCAATTTTTAATGCAATTTTTCAAATTAAAGCTTCAATAAAAAAAAGAATAAAACGTGGTGGTCTTGGCGGGGGGGGGGGGGGAAGGGGCATGGCCCCTATAGCCCCCTCTCTGGAACCCCCACTGGGTAAATGCTGCGGCGGAGTTATTTATTTATAGTCTATCTTTTCTTCATAGTTTACTACTTTGAATTAGTTTACATAGTTGACATTACTTCGTAGTAATGTCAACTTTAACAGAGTGGTCATTACAATATTGAATGACAAAGACAATTATTTTTCATCACTCTGTATTTGAAAATAGCCCATTTCCATACTGCTGAGATCTTTGAAAATCATCAATTTCCATACACCAAAATCAAATAGTGAACAGTTGACTTTTCCTGACATAAACATTACTTTTGCTAAATAAACATTACTTTCGCTACACAAACAATACTTTGTCTGACATCAACAAAGTTAGGCCTACAACTGAAGTTTCGGGTTAGCTCAAAAGGACAAACAAACAGAAAACAAAAACTAAAGCTTGATTGATGTTCAATCAGCTGAATTTTACACCAAAGTTAATTGTACAGCCCTGTGTTTAGTTTAAAAAAATTAATAGATTACAAAATATCAGATAATTTTTTAAGTTTGATGAAGTAGTTTTTTTCATTGTGATAAAATGTATCGTTTAATACTCGTCACAAAAGTCCCATTTCGGGGCGAGATAGTGTTTTACATGCGAGCATGGGAAACACTATATTGCCCTGAAATGGGTCCCTTTTTGACTAGTAGTGAAATATACTATTGCTTGAAAAGTACATGTGCTGTGTATCGTATGTTACAGACAGGACACAAAAGATTATACTTAATAGAAGTGTAAAAACAGTAAAATTAATTTACAATACTACTGCGCACACTACTTTGTTACAAAACTAGATCATTTTTCAAACTTGCAACATGTTCTATTTCGTGATTCTCTGATTTTTTACAACTTGAAAACTTCATAATTGGGTGGTTTGACATCGTCTGTGACATTTTTATTTGCAGACGTGGGTTGCCATCCAGTGGAGATGTAGATGTGTTACTCACTCACCCTGACTACAACTCTACAGATTCTGGCAAGGCTGGCAAGTCTAAGGCAGCCAAACTCCTCTCCAGAATTGTCACTTTGTTGGAAGAAAAGAAGCTCATTACAGAAACAATATCCCATGGGGATGTCAAATTCATGGTATGCTGTTTGTTTCATCTAGCATGATCTTGCTGTCCCCACTTTGGTATTAAACACAAAATAGACACTCTTCTATGGATATAATTTGTATTAAGTTTCAAAAGAATAGATATGGTCAATAAGGAGGAGTTTCTGGAGATCTGGTTGTGACCACCTTCAAATCATTCTCTTGTGTGACAAAATATATAGCCTGATATGGTGTTATTAGATAGTAATCTTTATGGTTCACTTCAACTTATTCGAAGTCTAGGATACAATTCACATACTTTGTGTTGTGGAATCACCATGATAATAGCTTACACAGTAACTTTTAATAAACTTACACTTAACAATGAATCTATTATCCTGAAAGTAAATAAAGTGCATAAACACTTTTAATAATATATTTACACATATACTGTTTACTCACTAGACGGTAAATGCATATAAAAGATGTTAAGTGATGATCGATTTCCATTAGACACTCCAATCATCATCAGACCCAATAGGCGAACATGTCCACTTACCCTCTTTTATATGCATTTACCGTCTTGTGAGTAAACAGTATTAGTGTAAAAATATTATTAAGAAAGTGTTATTTCACATATTTTTGTACTTTTAGGTAATTTAATAACACGTACAATGCTAATCAAGAAGCTATTTATCTATTTTCCGACTAACAGGTGACTTGGAGAGATCCACACCTACTGATGGAGGAGTGTAGTAGTTGAACAAGACTGAACGATGATGTCACTGCATACCTGACGGCGGCCACCATGTCAACACATTGTTGATTGTCATTAGCCTCTCATCAGTTTCTGCCGTTGCTTTCTTAATGTTTTTCGTCTCCCAGGCATGCAGTGACATCATCGCTCAGTCTGGTCGACCTCCAATACTTCATTTATCTTGATCCACACCCACAAAATCAACATAATATTTTCATTAAGGACCATAAGAGCCATAAACTATTTTATTGTGGTTACTTTTCTGATGTTAGAAATAAGTTTAGTCTACTAGACTAGCTGTGTGCCCGTTCTATGCACGGGGATCTTATCATAGTCAGTTGAAGCCTTCTTGTATTAAGAACAGCAGTTGGTTTGCATATTTTCAGATATGCTGGCAAAACTATTATATAAACCTTCACAAATACATTATCTGACAGTTTCACGCCAAAACAAATGCTTCGCAATTAAATGTCACCCGGATCATGTTGGTCCATATGTTAAATCCAATGATTAAGCTAAAAAATGCTTTATAGATCTATGAGGCATAGCCCTAAGGTAGGCCTATAATTGAACGTTACTTTCCACAATGGTTACTTTAAACAAAAGTTACTTTAAACAATTCATGATGGTTTGCTGAATAAATGTTTTACAAAAACACGTTATCGTTTTCTTAGCATAAACTAACATTTTGGAATCCAGACAGAAAAAGCAATACTCATACAGTTAAGACATCAATTAAATTAAATATGACTGTAAAAAATAAGGTGCAACACCAACGATAACTAATTTGTAAATTACAGTGATGTGTTGGTACGTAAAAATGATTCTTGCTGCTACCAACGGTTCTAAGGAAAAAAAGTACTGGTATCAAGGATCGTCGTCGAAAAGGTTGTTATGAATGATTGGGTAGGCGTACGTACCCAAGAGATAGGCTATGGGGGTACACTACACTTCCATATCTGTTGGCACAAACAACCGAATGAGTAATATTGATTATTCGATTATTTAATTTGATATATTGTTTGGTTAGTTAGGTTAGGTTAACCTTACCTAATAACCTAATAACCTTACCGAATAATCGATATATCGATCAATATTTTCATTCGGTTGTTTGTGCCAACAGATATGGAAGTGTACCCGGCTATGGGCCTATTGGCTGTATGGTCCAAAGATTGCATCACACAGTGAGTAGGAACTATGGACTATATAGTCAATGGTAGGAACAGAAAGTGACACATTGGAAAAGCGAGTTTAGCATCATCCGTAAACCGTTACAATCACCCACTGCAGTTGTGATTTATTACCTTACACTTTACACAACCGCCATTGAAGCGCCGTCAATGAGTGGAAACCTTGTTTCTAAGCTATTGGTGACGATCATTATTAAATTTAAGTTTCCCAGCCGTATACAACACTGATTCAAGGTCTTCTTTCTGGTTATCAAAACTCAAGAACAATTTTTTACACAAAGAATCTCTGGTTCCTGACCTGGATGATGCCTAGTTATTTAATTTCATTTACGGTTACACTATTACACTAATGAAATGAAATGAAATGAAATGAAATGAAAATGAAATGAAATGAAAAAGTACTTTTATTTACAAATAAGTGAACAAAAATAACTTCTTAGCACTAACAACTATGGACAAAAGTAGCCCGTCTGTTGCGGCTGGCGTACCTGGTTAGCACTTGTACAAAACTGATTAATAATAACAATTTAATGAAACTAATAAATAATAATAAAAAGATTTTAAAAGTAATGACATTTGGGAAAATGATTCTCACAGATTAAATTCTTGAATTAACCCCCATCTTTTAGACCAAGCATCTTTTAAATAATTGCTTAAGACCCGCCAATCCCACCCATTCAATATCTCTATATATTGTTCCTGTGTCAAAATTGGACAGCCAAAATAAAATTTCCTTATTGACTTAAAAATGGGACAAACAGATAAAAAATGAAAAACATCTTCTTTCTCTTGTAAATTACAAAGAGTGCACAAATGATAATTGTCTACAAGCCATGGTTTGAAGTTGAGGTTGATAAGCTCAGCTCTTGCCTTGATCGCCCAGGACATCACAGTTATGTCATATCTGTCAGCGAGGTATGTCTTATCTTTTAGGTCGAAGTTAATAGATAAGAGTTGTTGGTGATATAGAGACGTGCGCGCTCGACCCTCGCAATCACTTTTCCATGCTGCCCTTTCCCCTTCCACTACACTCATCAGCTGTGATTGTAGAACAGGGATGCCAACCTCGTCTACGTCGAAATTTATTTCCCTGCCATGCTTGTTTCCCAGACGCTTCCAATGTTTACACCAGTAAATATTCTTGTTTACTATTTGTCTGGCTAATTTAAAAGGTAAACGACTTTCAGACATTGATAACACGTTTAATAGATAGTTAATATTTAACACGCTTGAATAAAAGTATATCTTATTTGTTAATGATTCAATATAAATTAAATAATTTGGCGTGTTTTTCGGAAGATGAAATAATCTCTTGATGAAAAACTTATTAACAGACTCCACAGAATCGCTGTCAATGAAACCCCACACTTGCGCGCCGTAACAAATAATTGATCGTATGACAGAGTTAAAACACAATTGTTTGGCACTGAGTGGGACTTCGTTGCTATTTATAAGATTTCCCCAAAGTGTATTAATAATAGCTAATTTAGACACTTTTTCTTTTGCTTTAAAATGTTTTATCCAAGATAATGAGGGAGTTAAAGTAATACCAAGGTAAGTATATTCATTCACCACTTCAATACGCTCGCCTCTGCACCACCAACGATCAACAGACCCCAGTTTGCCTCCTTTACGAAACACCATAACTTTGGATTTACTTAGATTTACACGAAGATTCCAACGTGCACAATAATCATCTAATCGATTGATCATATGCTGGAGGACAGTAGCTGTTGGAGAAATTAAAATTATATCATCAGCATACATTAAAATATTCACTTTGACTCCCTCAAACAAAACTCCTCCACCAATCTCCTCCGGCATGTCGTTAATAAATAAATTGAACAAACTAGGGCTACACACACATCCTTGCCTCAGACCTATCGTTGTATTAAAACTATCTGTAACACCTGCTCGATTCCAGACAGAGGCACTTGTACCGTTGTAATATTGTTTTATAATATTCAAAAACTTTGTTGACACACCTAAAGATGAAAGTTTGTACAATAATGATTGTCTATCTACAGTGTCAAAAGCGGCGCTAAAATCTACAAAAAAACAGTATAACTTTTCTTGTTTATAAAATTGCAAATGTGCCATGCATGTTAAACTAAAAATATTATCAATTGTTGAATAGTTTTTTCTGAAACCAGCCTGAAACTCAGTAAGAATACCTTCGTCATTGGCCCATTTAACTAACCTATTATTTATTAAACATGAAAATATTTTACCGATGCAATCAATAAAAGATAGGCCTCTATAATTTGTAACTAAATTTATATCACCTTTTTTGTGTAAAGGAAAAACAATAGATCGCTTAAAAGATTCCGGTACTTCTTCTTTTGAATATATGTTATTATATAGAGCAAGCAATATTTGAAGAAAGGGCAATGGAGCATTTTTGTAAAATTCATACGGAATTCTGTCCAGACCGGGCGCTTTCCCCGTTTTTACTTTATTTAGCACTTCCAGCAATTCATACATCTCAAAATCCCGATCTAATCTATTGTCTAAAATCAAAGGTTCAGCATAATATATCTCCGCTGCTAAAAGCGGGGGGTTCAACAGAGTTTTAAAATAGTTATGCCATTCTACGGGAGAAATATTTCCCACCCGCTTATCTGATTTGATTTTAAAACTGTTTATCGCATTCCAACACTTTTTGGGATCGGTCGCTCTTATCAGTGTGTCAACAAGGTTGTTTCGATAAGCCATTTTTTTACTAAAACACAATTGTTTATATCTTTTATTTTCTTTTAAATACTTGACTTTTATTTCTGGTTGATTAAATTTCCTGAATAAATTTAATAATTTAAAAATCTTCTTACGGAGCCTACCACACTCAAAATCAAACCATGGCTGCTTAGAAAAATAATTTGAAAATTTCTTAGAGGACGGTTTTAAATGGGCTGATTCTGTGATTAATCTGGTGATTTGATTTACATCTTCTTGAATGCAGTCCACAAATTGAAAATTAGAAAGCCTTTGACTAATCTTGTCACAATATGAATCATTATCTGTACTGGTCCAATTTAACTTTGGTAACAACGGGAGTATTTTTACATCTATATTATTAACGTCTGCCATCCCTGCGGCTGGTAAATAT